CAATTCACGAAGGAACAGGATATTTCTAGAAGGAGGTGGCGTGATACTAGTCACGTGACCTCGCTGACGCAACAAAACTAAATGAATCTCCTGTAGGCTGATCTTCAAGCTTCAAGTTATATTAATGTCTTAGTACTTCCTAATTAGAATCATTTAATAGGTGTGCTACGCAGCTTATGTGAGCATCTCTACTGGAAAAAAAAATCAATCAAGATTTTAACCTACTTGTTACTTATCATTATTACAAAGTAACTGTAATAAACTTTTTCGTGAAATTGATAATTACGGTTCTCACCATTTTGATATTCTGGAATTTCTATTTCTGTTTGGATAGATGTATCCTTTACAACACGCCTTGGGTAGCAAGGGAACGTCTAGAAAAACAAACAAGACTTAGAAAATATAAACTTGTAACTTAGAATATGTATACAAATATCTAACAAAACAGTGTGTTTGCCAATTCAGTTATTGACGTGTTTTGATGCATAGAGCTAGTATGTAATACATATATAATAGCTTTACGGTTTGGCCTTCACGATTCCACTTTGTGGAATAATAATCGAAATGAGACTAAAAATTAAAGAATTATTTTGCCATTACCATTCCTTGTCATCATTAACTCAGAACGGTGTGTTTGTATACGTGTGTTTTACATATCCACTTTTAAAGTTGTCGGATGTTCTTTAACATTCGTGATAAAGAAATTCTATTAAAATATAACTATCAGTAGGAGCAACGCCCTCTCGAAAATATGACCAAATTACGAAAATAACTTTATTAGATTACCCTACTAACCATTTAACTTATGTGATTAAAAAAACTATTCGATTATGTGGTAAAAACCTACCCATTTTCTCTGGTTCCGTATTGGTGGCGCAGTTTTGATGCTTGGAAGGCGCTTGAAACTAACACCAGAAGGCGCGGACTGTGGTTTCACAACAGGTAAATTAGATGATTTAGATGGTCCAGGATTATTACCATAACATCCCGTAGACCATGTTCTCGCGCTTAACCTGAAAAAGTTCCCAAGGTCATCATTTATTGATTACAGATATAAGTCTATAATAAACATGAAGAAAGTATGAACCAGATGATCACCTGACAGTATAAGTAAAGCCTTTTCCAGTTTATGATCATAAAACTTCCACCTTTTAAAGTAAATATTGCAACAAATTATTGAAAGTATTTATACTTCATAATTTCACATCAAAGTTGCTTACCTTTGTTCATCCTTATTAATTGCATTCTTTAGCAAGGATTCGCAGCAACCGTCTCCAGTTCGACTTGATGACATTCCCTGTAAACAAAATTTCAAATCTCGTTCAAGTAAACCGAGGGTTAAGATTACAAATACTTTTCTTAACAACTTAACTTCACCGTAAACGCCATCTTTCAAATTCTGAACTCGTAGAAAAAGTGTTAACAATTCAACGCTACCATAAATGTTGTTTTTTAAATTCTGAACTCGAATAAAAAGGTTTAACAAATTTACATTACTGTCATAAGCAGAAGAGCATTTGATGGTTTTTTTGTTTTTTTTTGTGGGGGAGGTCACATTATTCACTAGATTAACCATGAACATTGAATTCAAAACTGAAACAGCGACTTTCCATAACAGTTATACACAAGTCTCCATTTCTCCATTCAGAGGGGCATTTCGTTACCGGATCAACATTGAAGGGGGGGGGAGGAGATGCCCTTAGTGCCCCAGTCTATGATTACCGTGTATGTCATCTTTCAACATCTAAGCAGATAAGAAAGAGAGAAATGAGATGTTACGGTGGAAAACTATATATGTTCCAGTTTGCTCTTGAAGAAGAAAAGTCCACCTTTCGAAAGCGCTCGGGCTATAGGGTTTTTATTCATTTCTATCAAGACTTTTGAACCTACGTGTCTTTCTAACATCATGTATGGGCCCGGCATGGCCAGGTGGTTAGGGCACTCGACT